AATGTTTCCTAGGTTGGAAGTGGTACTACTAGAGATTCAGGATTTTTAAATCAACAAGTTCTGTTTTAACCTTTTCTTATTCTTTACTTTTAAAATGTTTTATAGTCAAAACATTCATATGCTGAAAAATTTTATTCAAACACATATTTTTAGGAAGGATGTTTATAAACCATAAACAAAATCTAGGAAGAACATATTGTGTTTCTTGCAGTAAATGTTTAATGCAAACTGTTGGCTGGTATGGCTGAGGAATAAAAATTTCAGGCTAATCAAATATTCTGCAATATTATACCATAAGTATTATAATTTTTAAGTGTTAGAAGCTCAATATTACACTTATACTAGGCACGATTTGCTTATAAATATACTAGAGGCCCAGTGCACGACAATCGTGCCCGGCCTGCACCCTTTAGCAGTCCAGGAGCCCTTGGGGGATGTCCGACATCCTTGGGGGCAGTCAGACATCCTTAGTGCTGCTGTGGAGGTGGGAGAGGCTCCTGCCACCACCGCTGCACTCACCGGCTGTCAGCCTGGCTTGTGGCTCAGCGGTGTTCCCTCTGTGGGAGCGCACTGACCACCAGGGGGCAGCTTCTGCATTGAGCATCTGCCCCCTGGTGGTCAGTGCGTGTCATAGCAACCAGTCATTGTGCCATTTAGTCGATATGCAAATTACCCCTTTATTATATAGGATAGAAAGGCACTTCAGAATCTTGCTGAAGCTAGTGTCATGAATTTCCTTCAATAGAGTTCTAGTTAATAATTCAGGCAATAAATTCATTGTATCAATGCTCATTATCACTCAGGAACACTTTGGGGAGGAGGGCAGGTGCCATTTGAGTTGGGGGGAGAAGGGAAGGTAGCAGTTCCTGTGACCAAAACAATACAACCAACTCAACCCCCCACCGTGCCCCAAACCAATCTTCTCCTCTGAAAGTGCAAATACATTGTGAGGTGTGTATGTGTGCTGTACTGGTATAAATTATGTCTATGCCAGCAAAGGGTTAATAAAGACATGACACAGGATAGAAAAGGGTGACATCAAAGGGGAAACACGAATCTGTTAGAGCAGTGGAGGGACCCGTGTTAGATACTGTCTATTTCAGTTTTGCTGAGGATCCCAATTATGACAAACTGCTGTTACAGATGCTGAAAACAACATTCTATAATCTTACCTTGCATTGGCTTCTATGTTCGTTGTTTCCAGTGAACCCACATGAATTCCAAGTGGCCAGATCTAATGCATTAACATGATTTGTGTAACCCAAGCGGTTCTCCTTCATGAAGATTTTTTAAGCTTAATCAAAGTCATAAATAAAGACAAACACAAAACCCCTTTGGAGGGTAGACAAATAAAATGACTACTTGTAGACGTGCTAATAATCTTACAGTTTTGTCACTTAAATTGTCTTTAGTTTTTTATCTGTGAAAGCAGAGGGGAGGGTGTGGAATGATTCCTCAGCTGGCTTGAATAAGTCAAAAAAGCCTGTTTTGAATGCTTATAAAAAAAGGTCAGTTATCATTAAAAACATGTTTTTGTTTGTCTTCTGAAGTAACTATTTTTAAATAAAAAACATTACTGTGGATGCTTTATTAACAATAAAAAAAACAAACCTTAGTTCAAAATTAAAATTATATTGCTCTGTAATTCCAGAAAAAAGTTTGATTAAAGAAATATACTGAGCCAAATACCTATTTTGCTTTAATTGGCAGTGTTAACTCATGCACACATTCAAATAAGCATGACAGCACATAGAATACAGAGATATGGGAGGGATTCAGACCACAGATTATCTATTAGGAATAGAGAGTTTGGTCAGCATTGATGCTAAGTATATACAATCATTCTTGGCCCCTTGGTCAAAGGGGGGGAAAAATGTAAATCTAAAACAGACACTAAAGAATCAACCTTTGCTTAAGTTGCTAGGGTGATGAATTCCCCTTGGAAGTAATTGGTGAGGCAACTGGAAAACAGCACAGCTCTAGGGCCCTGCTCCTAACAAATCAACCTGCGACATTTACTATGAAACCAAGGAGTATATGCTACTGTGCTATGCTCTGTTTATCTCAACTTTTATCTTCTAATGTGCTAACAAAGTGTGTTTAAAAGTTTGTGGTGTCTAAAATAAATTCTGTTATTTGCAGTAAACTGGATGAATTGACCATATATATAATAATTATAAGACCTTATTTACAAAATCATTAAGTTACAAAAACAAAGGCACTACAGGAGTTTTAAATTGGACTACTTTTTTAAAAAGTATATTTTTATTGATTTCAGAGAAGAAGGGAGAGGGAGAGAGAGTTAGAAACATCAATGATGAGAGAGAATCATTGATTGGCTGCCTCCTGCATGCCCCACACTGGGGATCGAGCCCACAACCTGGGCATGTGCCCTGACCTGGGCAGGTGCCCTGCCCGGGAATCAAACTGTGACCTCCTGGTTCATAACTCCACGCTCAACCACTGAGCCACGCCGGCTAGGCTGGACTACTTTTTAAGGCTTCATGTGAACACCTCCTCCACTCCAGGCTCTCTATTTACAAAGCACTTTACTTTAAATTCTCTTGGATGCAAAAAAAGAGAACTAGAAGGTACAGCAAATGATGGTAAATATTTTCTAGTTCACTCCTGTTTTAAGGTTTCAGTCAAGAAACACTAGTATTTCAAACAGACTCCAAAGTTGACAGAAATGTTGGTAAACCTGCTCATTCTGGTCTGCCTCAACAAACCTGTATTTATATTTTTAATAACAAATCCCTTGGAGTGTTTGGGCTATGTTTCTTCTTCCTTGCGATTACAGTCAGGTACACAGGAAGATGATGCTATCTCTGATAAAAACATATTCTTTTCTTTTTTTAATTAAAAATGTTAATGTTGACATTATTGCAGATTATTTATTTTGTTTACAGGGTAAATACTATTCTTTGGTGAAGCTAATGGGGTTCTAAAATGTAAGCAAATGACTAAATTATGAATTAGGTTGTAATAGGCATTATCTTTTTTTAGGGGGAGGGGAAATTCCCTCTCAGATGATCATATCATTAAATAGCTACTTAGAGGGTTTATTTTAAAATTAATGGTCAATAATAAGTAGAAAAATTATTGTCCTCTGAAATTTTGGCAAGCATATTGATTACAGTCTTTATTTAGTAGCGTTTTCAAGTTAAGCTTGGCAGCAAAGATTTGTGAGTTTTACTGCAAGCCATCATATTTGTTGTTACAGCAGTGCATAGGCAAAAAACAACAACAACAACACCCCTCCCCATTAAGTTAGGAGCATATGCAGCGTCTTACAATTTGTCTATTCTCTCAAAGTGAAATGAAACCCTTAGACATTGCTCTAAATAATTCAACTTTCAATAGCATCCTCCCTTGAAACTGAGTTAAAATTGTTTGGGGGTTCTTGAATTAACCAGATTGTTGCTTCAATACTTCATTCACAAAAAAGTATTTTCAAACAAACAAACAAAATGACATGGAAAGTTTTTGTAAAATGCCCGAGAAGTCAATTGTGAATTTTGTGTGTATGAGCAATTTTCTGAAGAATGACTCTGTTTATTAAATCTTCCTATTTTACTCTTATGGAGAAACTGTTTAGGGATAATAACTAATATATAAAATTGCAAGTATCATTCTTGGGTGGAGGTGAAGCATAAAACTATAGTAATGATCTTTTGTTAATTTTTCAGCAGTCATTTTTTGAATGCTTCTTTATTGCTAAACTTTCCAATTAGTGTAGCTTTAATAAGAAATATATAGATGATATGTATTATATATATTTAGAAATACACTTCAGTCACTAATCATTGTCCATCAACTGTGACATAATCCCATGAATATTTTTAAAAACAGGAAGATGTCAATAATATGGGAAATGCTTTTGGAATTCTGGTAGTGCTGATTCAGAATTCTTACAAAACTTAGCAATATGCTACAATGTCATTTTATATAAAAGTAAATTGTAGTCCAAAGGAATTTCCCCCAGCCTTGGAAATTAAATATTGGGTAGCACTAAGTCATGAAGGCAACAACATATTTATCTATTTTCAATTGCTCTAAAAGATACAGAAGCAACATCCTCAGTATTCACACATGTTACACACCAGGGTGAAGTCACCACATATAGCGACTGTATTTGACCATCTTTGGAATGGAAAAGAAGCTCAAACATCAAACCTGATGACTAAAGCATTTAGAAAAAGCAAAAGAGCTCAGTTCATACTTTAGGAAGCTGAGTTGGTATTTCATTCTCCCCACCCCCCAGCACACACCTGCCTTTATAAGGAAGAACCAGCCCTGTGAATGGGAACTGGAGTCAAGGTTAAAGTCATCTTGCCCAAGAGAGTGGAGTGCATCGGGGAGAAAAGGCAGCTCGGCTCAAATGAGCATTAATAGCCAACGGCAGCACCTCCCCTGCAAAACATGAGCCTCCTGGACCTGTGTTTGAAATTCATCCTCCTAAGTCATCCTGTGACTACAGGGATAAGTGACAATGTCCCATCAGCCGAAGGGGGGAAATACAGCACAAACCCTTCTAAAAAATATTACTTTAAGAAACAATGAAAAGTGTGAAGTGTTCTAACTGTCAGGAACCCTTTGCAGACAGTAAAGGAAAAGCTTTGTCTTTCCTATTATTGTTTGCCCTTCAGTTGACATACATGCCCAGTTGCATCAATAGGATTACAACAGAAACACGGTCAGCTCCGGGTTTCCTCTGTGGGGTTCCTTGCTCTTGTTTAAAGAAACAGGCTCCGGGAATGCACAGAAAGCAAACTTCCCCAATTGAAGTTCCGAGGTGGTCTTTCCTTCTCTTCTCCCACCCTCAGAAACATGCCTCGTTTTACCCAGAGCCCCGGACAGCAATGTCACGGTCATGTTGCACCACTGCACTTGTTGAATTGTGTGAATGAAGGCAGCACTTGGCCACAGTCACTCGGTGAACCGCCTTGCTCTTCAATGAGCCCCCAAGATTTCTTTCCAATTCCTCGGAAATGTCTTACCTGCATGTGTCCCTGGTACATTCTGCTTGGACTTCTTCAGGGCTTCCCGAGGCCGCCGGATGCTTTCCCCGTGTTTCCTCGCCCGCCAGCAGAGGGGAGGAGGAGGCGTGCACACTGGGTTCGCACAGGGTGCCCCTGAGCCGGGGTGAGGCTCCAGGTAGCCCGCCCGAGGCCCTTGGCAGCCAGCGGGCTGCCCGGGAGCTGTTCTCCGCTCGGGGAGCTGAAAGCGGACACCGGAGAGCGCGCGGAGCAGGTGGAGGAGCCGGGGCGGCACGCTCTCCCGCGGACGCGGGGCCCTGTTCTCCGGCGTCTCTATAAGTCTCTCTTTCATCCCGAACTCTAACACGGGCCTGGAAGATCACTCTATCCATTTGACCGTCATTTAGTTCTCCTCCTACCGAGGCCTGAGTGAGCGGTCCGAGTA